GTGGGTGTGGGTGTGTGGGTGTGGGTGTGGGTGTGGGTGTGGGTGTGGGTGTGGGTGTGGGTGTTCTTTTCATCTGCACGTCCACAGCCACATACACATCCACAATCACACTCACACCCACACCCTATTATTATTATTATTATATAAACTCAATTTCTTCATCAATGAAAATGATCGAGAAATTCGAAGAAAAAAATTCATGTTGAAAAGGACGTTCATCAGATAATGATATTTCAGAGACACATTTAAAGAATGCACCTTGAAAATTATTTGTTATATTTTTGTAAACTTTCAATGTATATGGATATGAATAAATATGACAATGACTATATTGTCTTTCGTCGAAATAATAGACACAAGAAATAATTTGATTATCTTTATCTTTAAAATCACTGAATGTATTCCGAATAACTTCACTTAATGGCCGATCGATTTGACAATGAAGCTGAATACTTGAGTTAATATTAAATATAAATTTGTTTAATTGTGGCATATGATTTTTCCAAGTTCGACATTCGATGTAGAAGTGATACAATAAGTTCATCATAAGCATCAGTAATCATATCACAATATAGCGAAAAACATCTTAAATTAGGTAATTTTTCCTATAAAAATAATATAATGAATTCATTCAATTAAATAAATATAATCTACGTTTTTATTCATGGTTGAAAGACTAGAATAAATCTATTTAATATTTACATTAAGTATGTGATATTGATTTAAATATCCATGAAAGAAATAAATACAATCATTGAAACCTTGCAGACAAGTATGTAATTTTCACAGAGTTGATGACAAAACTTTTGGAGATGACGTATGAAATGAAAATGGTTGATGTCGATTTAAAAATGAATCAAAATTTAAATATTTTAAGTTTGGAGAACATAGTTAAGATATGTGAAAACATAAGTTTATTGGTATCGTTTGTTGAATTTCGTTTCTTATATCTAGGAATATAGATAACAAGCGATGATATTCGATTTTTATTTGTATGAATTAAAAAAGTATCGTCTAAATAAAAAAAATGAAAAATCAATGAAGAAAAATTTATATCAGATTTGATTTTTGATCATTAAATCAATGTATTTATCGTTTATTTTCTTTTTAATAATTGAATAATGTATACGTTGTAGGCAAGATTGGAATTCTTATATTGAGTAGACATCCATCAGTCACAACTGATATTACAGTTTTGCTTGAACAGAGTTCGTATTCGACTAGAGAGAAATTCATACAATCAATATCATCGTTTCCTTTAACTTCAGAAAAGTTTTCGTAATCCATTGACTTTTACAAAGAGATACAGTTCTATTAAATGATACTTATTTTTGTTTATTTACTAATTTTAATTTGTTTCGATGAGTATCGATAGGATCCTAAGTAAAAGAAAAAAAACAGCTACTGCATTTCAAATTGAAAAGAAAATTGTATTCTATTTACAGAAATTGGTTCGAACAGTTCTTTATCAAGATCATCATCATCTGAATTTGATTTCATTTCCAAAAGTTTTTTTTTCATAAATTTAGTTCGAATTCTAATATAATTTCAATAGAAACTTTTATCATGTACATCATTTTTAAGTAACTTACTGATGTCAGACAAACTATCAACTGTTTCCATATGATATTATTTGTAATCTCAGACTCAAATTAGATATATTTCCATCATCATCAAAATCAAGTTCATCTTCATTTTTATCTATTTGATCAAGTTTTTTTTCTATATCTGATGTTGTTTTAATTTATTCATCAATACCAATAAATAAATAAAAAAACAAGAAGTCTTCGAGTTTAACTTTAAAATAAATAATGACAAAACTTTTAACTTCATATTTCTCATTGATGATTTATCTATATGAGCATCTAAAAATAAAAATAAAATCAACTATCAAGCAAAATAAAATATTATTACCTTTAATATCGCCTTCGTCATCAGACATTTCATCAGTTGTATAATCAATTTCATCGTCTAAAATTAATAGAAAATATAGTACTGAAACAAATTTAGATTCGTTGTTTATACGATTGACATAACAGCAAGAAATATTTTTTATTCTCTATGTATATGATTTCTATTCAATGATCACTACAATGATCTAATGAAGCTGTACAAAGAATAAGATATCTAATTATTGAGCCATAGGATTGATACAATTTGAGAAGCTAATACTATATGTCTACGTTTAGTTTATCAGCAAACTAAAACCAATACGAATCCTTGTTCACTCACTTTGCAAAAAGTATCTGAAATTTCAATGTCGGGGCGAGAGGAGACATGATAGAAAAAAATACCTATTAGATTGTGAAAATTAATTAGTTTTAATAAATGAGTTTTTACATTCATGATCGCTATCATCAAAATCTTCTTGAGGGTGCAGGTTTAGATGACTGCGGAACTTCTCATTCCCATACCCATATCGTTTTTTTCGTTTTTGATTTTCTGTTTGTACTGTATCTTCCATCAACAGTCTAGGATTGAAAATGGTCGTTAAAAGACTGAAAATTTCGTTTATAAAATATTGATTATCCATAAAAAAAAACCTACTAAACTACATGAATTTTCATTTTCACAAACATATTATATAACTTTCTAGCTGATTTCAAGTGTTGAATATTTGATTTTGACAATATTGTCAGATGGAAGCAATGATGACTTTTTTGGATTTTCTCTTTCTCTATGATACATTCGTGGAAGTTTATACATGCGAAGCATACACGACGTCATACTCTATTATGCAGATAAAATCCTCTCTCTAAATGCATAGAACTGAGACAAATATATTACGAAGTTTATTGAACGATTTTGGCATGATGATAATTAGATGTGAGCCAGAATATTCTAAAAACGGGACGATCACAGAATGACCATATTCTTTATTGATATTTTTTGTAAAGAAAGGAAAATGCACCTTTGCACTTGTCGCGTTCAGTCTTCATTGTCATAGATTTTACGATATGAACCATCAAATTCAGTTTTTTTTAAATAGAAATTGGCATTCAAAATGTTGCTGTGAAACGATTCGAGACTGCCAACTTTTTATGATTGTGACTGGTTTGTCACCCTTTCCTATCCGTAGACTCATCTTCTCTTTCTCTAAGCCAAGAAAACGAATGCAGACCTTTTTGTATTATAATCAAAATGTCACAAATTTGTCGAGAATCATATATGAGTACTACATAGTAAGATTACTGTACTATTTTACTGATATTTCAAGAATGTCACGAGAAAACATCATTATTGTTAGCAAAAATAAGCTCTCAGTAATGATAGCAACATGTTTCAATCAGATTTTAAATACCGATAGAATAAAATATTCCGCGGAATGATACATTGTCTGCAAAGAGCTCAGAAAAGGCGCATTAGAAAGCTATAAATACTATATAAATAAGCTGTTACTATTCTGAAACAAAATAAAATATTTATGAGAAGGAAGCGCACACTGGCATAAGAACATATAAAGTGATGATGATTGAAAAAGAGTTCGAAAGCTTTGAATCACAGATCATTGTTAAGCAAGATTTTTATGAAGATGTTGATTGCATTAATTGAAATATGATACCTTGATCTTTCTATAGTT